GGGCCTGAGTTCAGTCCCTGGTACCAAAAAAAAAAAAATAATAATAATAATAATAATATCTGGACCCACATCTGAACACGAAATTCATCCATGTTTCAGATCTTCCGTGCACAACCTGAAAGTAACTATATAATATTTTGAATGCACCTGCATTTTGGCTGCCACCCACCGCAGAAGGTCAGGGAAGCCTTTTCCCTGGGACATCAGTATTAGCACTCAAAGAATTTTAGATTTGGGAGCATTTTGTATTTTTGGATTAAGGATAGTCAGCTAGTAGGTCTAATAAAATCAACCGTTTACATTAAATCGCACTTATTTATTTGCACATTTTACATGTTGTGATTTGGGTACGTTTGAAGTTACCTGTGTGGCTTGTATTGCTCCTGTGGGCAGTGCTGCTCTCCACGGTTTCCGTCTTGCGCCTGGCCCTGGACGCAGGTGTTCCTGGCGTGATTATCAGTGCACCTGTTGTGCGTCAGGCAGGAGTCTCGTGATGTTAGCTGGCACGACAGGTGTGTGGGCGATGGACGGTAACGCTGTGAGCTCACTGTCAGAACGGGAGGAGCGAAGACTAGAGTGATGGGCTGCTGGCTGACGAAGGGGGGAGGCAGCCTTGGAGCCCTGAGGTTCCAGCAGGACCCTTAAGAGATGCGCTTATTGCCATGTGAGCTCTGCGCACAGTGTGTGCCTGGTCCTTCCCAGGCATCGGCTCAGTGAATCCTCACCACTGTCTTTGAAGTAGGTGTTGTTACTGTTTTACGGAAGGGCGAAACTGAGATCTGGGGAACTTGACGTCGTGTGCCCGGAGTCACAGGGCTCATGAATAAGTAGCTGAGTTGCAATTTGGCGCAGGCACATGGGGCGGCAGCACAAGGTGATGGTGACCGCCAGACAAGCCACACCTGACACCTGCTACCTCTGCTGTTGCTGCTGCATCGTCTTTCTTCTTCTTCCTGTTCCTCTTCTTCTTTTGCCTTTTCCCCCAAGTATTTTATTTAAATATTAGATTTCATAAAGCACATCAGCTAACCATTTGGCATACATCTCTCACGTCAGCCTGAGAGATAACAATTCAGTTAGGCTACCTCTGCTTCTAAGGGTGGGACCTTTGGGACAGACTGGGGATAACCGAGATGACCTAATGGTCAGAGGGCTCGTGAGAGTGGATGGCCAAGGACGTGCAGTCCGTTTAGAACCGTGGCAGCAGTGGTGATGTGGACACACAAATCAGCGCGCGGTCAGCCCTCTGTACCCGTGGTTCTGCATCCTCCATTTCACCCAACAGGGATCAGAAGGACTCAGGAGAAAATGCTTCTGCCCTGAAAATGTCCAGACATATTTCTTTCTTTCTTTTTTTTTGGTTTTTTTGAGACAGGGTCTCTCTATGTAGTTGAGACTGACCTGGGACTCACTATGTAGCCCAGGCTGGTCTCGAACTCACAGTGATCCTCCTCCCTCAGCCTCCAGAGCGCTGGGATTATAGGCGTGCACCATCACGCCCGGCATCAGACATATTTCTTGTCATTGTCCTCTAAAGGACAGAACAGAGCAAGTAATTACAAAGCATTCACATGGCATTAGAGATTCCAAGTAATCTAGAGATGACCTGAAGCATCGGGAGGATGTGTGCACTTCATACATAAATACGGTGCCTTTGTATATAAAGCGCCTGGGCATCGTCCTACTTTTGGGGTCCACGGGGGCCCTGGAACCGACCCCATGGATTTAGGGGTGACTGCGGTCCCAAGTGCACAGGGAAGAACATTTTGCAGCAGGGGAGCTGTGAGCGCCCATCAGGGTTGCCGGTGCCGCTGCCCGGCCCAGGGAATGATGCTCACTGCTGTTTCGGCCTCTGTTTAGGTCTGGACTCACGACGGCCCAGCTCCCCGCTCATCGATATCAAACCTATTGAGTTCGGCGTCCTCAGTGCCAAGAAGGAGCCGATCCAGCCCTCGGTTCTCCGGCGGACCTACACGCCCGATGACTACTTCCGGAAGTTCGAGCCGCAGCTCTACTCCCTGGACGCCAGCAGCGACGATGTGGACGCACTGACCGACGAGGAGATCCTGTCCAGGTACCAGCTGGGCATGCTGCACTTCAGCACGCAGTACGACCTGCTGCACAACCACCTCACCGTGAGGGTCATCGAGGCCCGGGACCTGCCGCCCCCCATCGCCCACGACGGCTCGCGCCAGGACATGGCGCACTCCAACCCTTACGTCAAGATCTGCCTGCTGCCCGACCAGAAGAACTCTAAGCAGACGGGGGTCAAGCGCAAGACCCAGAAGCCTGTGTTCGAGGAGCGCTACACCTTCGACATCCCGTTCCTAGAAGCTCAGAGGAGGACCCTGCTCCTGACCATGGTGGACTTTGATAAGTTCTCGCGCCACTGTGTCATCGGCAAAGTGTCCGTGCCTTTGTGCGAAGTGGACCTGGTGAAGGGCGGGCACTGGTGGAAGGCGCTGATTCCCAGCTCACAGGTAAGGCCGGCTTTGCGGCGTCTCCTCCTGCAGGCTTAACTGAGGAATGGTCGTTTTTATTTCACTTTGCTATTTATAACTATTTTTTATAGTTATGAAACTTTTTTTATACTGAGATGATTTTTGGCTTTAAGAAGTTGCAAAAATAGCAGAGTCCTCATGTCTTCTTCACCCTCTGACGATGACATCTTACACCCCGGAGTACATTAGCCACGCCGGGGAGTGGACATTGGAAACTAGGCTGGGCGCAGTCCAGATTTCACTGTTTTTCATGTGCACTGCTGAGCGTGTGTGTGTGTGTGTGTGTGTGTGTGTGTGTGTGTACACGCAAGTGTTTCTGTGAAATCTCATCGCGTAGACAGATTTGTGTAACCACCACCACTCTGGGAGCTTTTCTGTCGTTGACACTGTTACTTAATCAGGAGAATGACTGCTCAGGGTATAAAGCTATCCGTCATTTTGACTTTCAGAAATTGATTTGGCAGGAAAGAAAAGTGAGGGCCAGAGACTGGGATGACAAGTGGATGCTTCTCAGGCAGATTGTTAGATTGGCAAGTGGGATCGGCTGCTGGGGACGTCACCCCTGGGCCCCGCTGTGTCCCCAGCGGCTGTTGGGCATTCGTGTCTTACCTGTTGTGGGCACTGGGGGGAAGATCCAGCCGTAAGAAGCTCCTCTGACCCGGCACACTGCTGACAGCAGTGCCCTGTGATGCAGGCAGGACTATTTTACACGAACATACGAAGAACAAACCAGAGGTGTATCTCTTGGTCCAGGATCTGATGACCCAGTACCACATTGAGGCGGACAGTTTCTTGTTTTTTATTCTTGGAGCCAGAGATGGAACCAGGGCTTTATATTTGCTGAACACTTGCTCTACAATGGAGTCCTGGGTACAGGTTTTGTTCATTTCTTTGTAATTTAAAAAGAAAATTTTTAGTGCATGTTTGCAGGTTTTAAACATGAGGCCCAAGAGGGATGGTTTCACTACAAAACAGTGTGTGTATGTGTAAGGGTGTGTGTATGTGTGGTCTTCAAACGTAGAGATTTATCGCTCTCGGACTGCATTCTCTAAGAAAATTCTGAGGCCAAGGACATTGTTTATCAGGGAAGTGACACCAGGATGGAACAGGAAGGTCACAGAAACGATGTGCAATTGAGTTGCCTCTCACCATGGTCCTAAACCTACGGGGAGACCAAGAGCTCGTGCAGCCACAGCCACAGCAGGCGAGGGAGCCAGGCTGTTTGCATGGACGCCGTCTCCCCCATCACAGAGTAATGGTTGCTGGAGTTCAGAGATCGCATCCCTGCCCCTCTGGCCTGTGGCCCTGGTGGGTGTGAAATGGTGTGTGAGGTGGCAGCTGGACGGCAGCTGTGTGTGGGGAAGCGGTGTGGGAGAGGGGAGGGTGAGCAGCCTCTGGGAGAACCTTCCTTCCAGGCGCTCCGGCCAGAGACGTCGCCTGTTTTCTGTGCATCTTCTGGGGTATCTGACACCACTCCGCCTTCTGAAATCTTATAGCGTAAAGAACACAGTAGTTCCAGCCTGCCAGGTTCTGTTCTTCCGCGCAGGAGATGCAGAGGATCTGATGTGCACACAGCTGGCCCCCTTTCCGTCTTTGCTCGGATGGCACCTTCCTAGCACAGCCTCCCCAGCACATCACTGCACTTTGTGGTTTGGTTTCTTCTGTCCTCCGACTCTCCCTCACTTCTTGTCTTTCTTTCTCCTTCCCAGTCCTGGTGCAGATGCAGGGATGGGAGATGGAGACACTCGGCCTCCATTAGGCTGGTGGGAGTCCCCTTCCCAGGGGAGCCTTTGTGGTGACATTGCCGCCAGTGGCATAGGCCCAGCCACCCCATGTCCTGCCGGTGTGATGGGCCCTCTGCTTCCTCCCAGGTTGGGTGGAGGTATGGCCCCCCATCCAGGTGTGAAGCCAGGCGTTCAGGCCCTCACCTTGTTGGAGGGCCTGGTGGGTGGTAAGCCTGTGACGGTGGCAGTTGTGGTTGTCAGGAGGGCACGCGGCCTGTCCCACACCCCTTCAGAGCAAGGCTGCACTTTGTAATGTCCCAGAGTGCTACGTAGTTATAACACATGATGCATATCGAACCTGGAAGGCTAGGAGTAGAAAGGTTTCTGACTGCGCCTGACACGGTGCCTTTGTAAGTGTCCCCAGAGAGCCGCCTTGTCCCTTCCAATGTGTGACAGTGAGAGCCTTCACCATAGACTAAATCCTAAGCCCCTGGGGTATGAGAAATACACTTCTGTTATTTATCAGCACCATATAGTATTAGTAGCATATAGTATTTTTCTGATGGCGATCCAAATGGAGGAAGACAAGGAGGAAATATACTGACAGCTGCAGAACTTTGAAATGCCTTTGAAAAAGATGGAGAGTTGGATAGATAGGTATGCAATAAAGCAGAAATAGCATATTTAAAAGACTGTGAGTAACAATAACTGCATGCTGTAGAATCTGGGTGATGCAGCTAAGGGTGTTCACTACAGTTCTTTCAGCTTTTCTGTATTTGAAAATGTTCATGAGAAAACGTTGGGAGCAAGAGACAGGAGGAGATGGAGCACCCATTAAGTGTAATTGCTATCTTTGGGCAAGAACTGATGACTGTGTGGATCCAGAGTGGGGCGGCAGGAATAGGTGGCCAGCTTTGGGCTGCTTCCCTGGTCCCCACTGAACCCCACTTTGGCGGCTGCAAAGGAAGGGGGCTTTCCACTACTGCAGCTGTTCCCCGTAACAAGCGTCAGTATCCCCCCAAGAGTGGAGGCCACGAGGTTCCCAGATCTCAGCCTTGCTGGTTCAGATTCCTAAGCCTCGGGGGCACATGAGTCTGCACTTTAGCAAGGGTGTGGGGCGATGCTCAGGTAGGGACTCTGGACTTCATTCTGAGAACACGGCGGGTGCTCGAGGGCTGAGAGGTTTGGCTGTCGAATAGACAAGGGTCTGGAGCTTGCCCTTGGCACTCACGGGTTGGATTGGTGGTGGCGTAATAAGATGGGACAGCTGGGGTGGGCCTGGGCCTTGCAAATGCCTGGCATACAGTGGACACCCAGTGTCCGGCTGCCATTGTGATGGAATGGAGCAGCCATAGGGGAAGGAGCATGCTCGCCAAAGTTCATGGGGTTAATTCTGAGTCGTGTCTGAGCAGAGAAACTGTTGTTGTTGTTGTTGTTGGTATGGGGATGGAACCCAGGGCCTGCGCGCTGAGTTATATCCGCAGCCCATTTTTATGTTTTACTGTGAGACAGAATCTCCCTATGTTTCTAAAGTACCCATTCTGGGCTGGAACTTGTGCCCTTCCTGCCTCAGCCTCCCGAAGTGCTGGGATTATAGGCATGCATCACATTGCCCCGCTTGGGTATAGAATCTTGTATGACAAAACTTCACTGACTGCTGAGGAGGAATGTTTGATTTGGTCCCCAAAAGAAGAGAATATGTTCAGTCAAAAGTGCTATTTGTGCACTGGAGGGCTGGATATTTACATTTCTGAAGATTGCTTTCACCTGCAATTGCTCTGGTCAAAGGAAACCTTTAGATCTCGGGTGTCCAGGTTTCTGGGCGCTGTGGCTTAGGAAGTGGAGTCTGCGTGTATTGTTTCTGACGCAGCCATCTTCTCTGGTGACCACTGACCCGTAGGACTGACATCTGTCCTCCTAGCTTGGGCTTCCCCACAGACCAACCTCATGACAGTGGTTTCAATGGGCATGTTTTCTCAGAAGGGACAGAAAAATGAACTAGAAGGGAAGGGGGAAAGAAAGTAATTAAAGGGTGTGTTGTCTTGCAAGTTACTCCTTCTTGTGGGCTGCAGGAGTTTGTCCTCCAGGGAGCCCAGCGCAGCAGGCTGGAGGGGTGAGGGAGCAGGTCAAGTGTTCACTGGCTCCCATCACACGGGTTTCAAGGTGCTCCCAGGAGTCTCAATGCCCTGGGCACCTCTGGCTGGCCACGTGGATGTGAGTAAAGAGGACACTGGTGGCCTGGAGAAGTTCAGTGGACACTGATGTGTCGAGACGGCGAGCTGGGTGGTCACCTGCAGCCTCACCACACTTGCCTCACCACCTCTGTATGTGGTGTGTACCCTCACTTAGGGCTCAGGATGCAGATCCCCACTCTTCCTTCTCTCTGCTTCCCCGTCTTCATTTCTCCTCTGCTCTGATCAGAAAGATACAAAGCAGATGAGTGAGACCCCGGGCTGAGCAGAAGTCCACAGAAATGGCAGCACTCTTCCTACAGAGGGGCTCACCCTGCAAGGCCTCTCCAGGCAGCTTTCGAGCTGAGGCCAGAGGGGAGGGAGGAAGGGCAGGAAAATCCATCGCTCTTTTGACTTAGCCAGTGCGCCCTCCACCCTGAATCTTTTCCCTCTGGAGCCTGGGAACAGTGAACCTGTGGACCCTGCAGAACCAGGCCTTGGCTTCCTATAGCTCCTGAGGAGGGATTGGGTCCCAGCTGATGATGGCTCCTTTGCCTCTCCCTGATCCTCAGCTTTGGGCCCAGTGGCCAGTCTAGGATCAACAGCAAATGCCCCCACTCAGTACCCTGCCTGTGTTCAGGGACAGGCTTGCCATATTAACTACTGCATGGACGTCAGCTTGTGCTATCACTTATTCTCAAGATCTTTAAAATTTTGGAGGGATTCACTAAGGTGTTGTGTTGAATAAATGTCATTGTGTGTAAAGCATTACCTGTTTTTGTTCGTTTCAGTGCTTCTGCTGGAACCCAGGGCCTCGCAGGCTAGGCAAGTGGTCTCCCACTGAGCTACATCCCCATCCCCTTTTTAAATTTTTATTTGGAGACAGGGTATTGCCAAGTTGCCCAGGCTGACCTTGGACTTGCAATCTTCCTGCCTTAACCTCCCAGGTAACTAGTATGACAGATGTGTGCCTGGCTTAGCACATTCTCTTTTAAATTGGGCTGACTTGGTTAAGTGTGAACATGGATCTAGCGCTACCCCCATTAACTAGGGATGAGGATCTTGCTGCATGGGTAGTTGAGGG